AATGACATATTCTATATAATATTCTCTACTTGTTTCTCACATGAGGACCAACGGCTGAATTTTCACGTAGCGCCATCATCTGGTCAAAATTTGAATTTGTCTAATATTTTAGTTTCTGAGTAAAGACAAAACATAATGACGTTGTCATCAGCCACAGCTGTAGGCCTACTTTATGTTTAGTGCCAATTAGCAAATGTTAGCATGCTAACACACTGAAAATGAAAAGGTTAATATATTAAATACCTGCTAAACATCAGCATGCTAAAATGCTAAATAGCTCAAAGTACCATAGCTGCTAGCATGGCTGTAGACTCTTATTTGTCTCGTTAATGAACAAATAAAATATTTTGGCTAATTGTTAACATTTTCAGAATCAGAATCAGCTTTATTTGCCAGGTATGTGTACACATGCAAGGAGCCTGACTCTGGATTGTACATTGCTCACAATGTGCAACTCATACACAATAATAAAATCAAACACATGCTACAGTAGAGAGAACACCAATATATACACTATGAAACAAAAACAATATAGACAGATAGACAAATTGTGCAGTGAGCAGAGTGCAAAGGATGTAAAATTATTAGTATTATTATCATTTTATGTACATGTCGGAGGTAAATGTAATATACAGGTACAGATACACATACATACATGTACATAGTGTGATGGAGCATATAGTGCAAAGGATACTGAAATAAATAAGTATTAAGTGCAGGTGTTATGTACAACATAAGAAAATCAAATCCAAATCAAATTTTTATAAAATATGATTGAACAAGTTCCATATGTCCTTCAATGATACAAACAATAATAATAAAGTGTAAATGGTGAATGCTATATTTCCATTAGTGAAGGTAAATTAATTACTCAGTGTTTTTCTGAAGATGTTATGATTTTGGTTTGGGGCATTAAAAGCAGAATAGTGGCTGATGCAAGCAAGAGAGAAAACAGGTGTGTTCTTCATTTCTAAGTGAGTTGTGAGCCCATTGACAATAATTTCATCGAAAAACTTACATATAGCACCTTTAAGTTTATTTTATGGACTTGCATGACTGTCCCTGAACGCCACACACCTCACCTCACCGGACAGAGACTGCGGCGACCGAGACGAGAGTCCAGCCGACTGTAGCAGCCAGTGCCCGCCAACGCAACATCACTCGGGCCTGGGCGGACAGTTTAACTCGCCCAATCCGTGAGTAGGAATTTTATATTTCAACTGGTGGGCACAGATAGGACCTGGACCGGGGTGGCTGTGGAGGCGGGATTGTGGAGTACAGGACGTAACTTGAACGAGAACACACTACTCAGTTGTCGGAATGTCTTTTTAAATATATTTTATCCAAATCTTTTAATTGAGAACTTTACTTTTACCACAATGGCCACACAAACAACTGCTGATTTAGACAATACCTCATGTTTACCATCTGCTGTCACTAAATGAGAAGGAATGATGTCATCTTAAAAAGTCATCAAATAAACAGCTCAGCATATTCTCACCTGTTTTCTCCTCTGAGGACTGAGGGCTGAAGGTGAACAGCTGCACTTTTCCAGAGTAATCATCTGTCACTTCACACGTCAAGTTAGACTTTGATTTGTTAACAAAATGAGAATCCAGGAAAGACACAGTGACGTAGCAGCCAGACTGTGATGTCTTCATGTCTTTGTTATCTTTGTCCACATCTTTACCCTCATACAGCCACTTCACTGTGTGTCTACAGAACTGTTCATATGTCAACACAGAGCAGGTTAACGTCACCTTATCAGCGTCCTTACGTTCAGTCACTGGTGAAGATGGAGATATTGTGAGAGAAAGACAACAAGAGTAAAGTTAACTTCATCACTGTGATCATAATTATTGTAATGTTTCAGTATATTGTTCTAACAAGACAGTTTGAGCTGAAAACATTATGATGGAAATACTCAATGATAATAACAGACAGAAGAACATGAGAGTCTGGAGCTTGTTGTTGTCCTGATATGAACTGTCTGCAGGTGTAACGACCAACATCCTTGATTGTGCACTTCTTTATAACCAGAGAACAGTTCTCTGTAACACTCAGTCTGTCTGATTTAGCTTTGGCGTTTTCACCAATCTGTCCAAATCTAACCAGCTCTACTACTGCTGTGTATCCTGAACCAACAAAGAGCCATGTAGTATTTTCACATTTTTGCTGACCGTCTATCACATTTTCACAAGGCAAAGTGACGTCATCTCCAACTCTGACAGTGAAGGAGAGGGGAAGTTTTTCAGCTGCTGCTGTTGAGAAAATGATGACGATTATTTCTTTATCCTTAGTTTCCAAGAGTTCACTAAACTCACCACATTAGAAACAACAGATTTGGTTTTCTTAGTTAAATCAAATGTAGCTAATAAAGAATCTTTAAGAATATTGATCAAGTTATTTTTTACAATGTGCCTTCCATTTATATATGTGATATATGTATTCTTACCTGTAAACTGAAGCACCGCTGGAAGAAATAAAGAAATCCATTTGAACTCAACCATCATGATTCTCTGAGTCTCTCCTTCTTCTGTCTCTTGTTCTCGTGCTCAGAACTGTCTGAGTTTCTAAACTAGTGCTTTAGTAGAGAGACGCTGCAGCTACTTCCTGTGTTTAGGATGATGTCACTTCCTCATGGTGACTTTTAATTTGTTGACTTCACACTGTGTCCATTTTCACTGTATATTTGTGATAATGATGTATTTCACCTGAAAAGAAGAAGAGGAAGTTGAATGTGTGAAGATTGTTAGTCAAGATAAACTTGTTTTCTTCAGATAGTGTTTATTAGAAAACAGACAGGATCCATGGTGATGTTTGACAGCACACATGAACAGACAGGTGAAGAGTCAAACTCCTCTCCCACCAGAATCTGACTCCTGATGTCCATGGTGCAATATGGTGATACTGTAGCAGCTGCTGAAGAACACAGATAAGATGATATTTTACTGGTCATTGTTACCCTCTAATGATCAGGTAAACATCAGAAGCACAAGGTTTTCTTCAGCCTTTGTACCTGTTACCATTTTCCTTCAAGCTGGTCAGCCTTGTACTTGTAGTCCATGTTTGTCCTGCTAATAAGAATACTATAAACCTTCAGACAACCACTGCATTTTTCTAGCCATCTGTTTGTTTGTTGTCCAAAAGCACAGCTGTAAACTTAGCAGGTTGGTGCTGAATGCAGAAATATAAGATATAAGATAATTCAGCCTAATAATTTGATGTCAGCAGCTGTTTGCACTCGTTTTGTTATGATCATGAATCGGCTGAATTGTATGATACATGAATCGGCTCTGACATTAGACCTATCTGAATCTGTATGTGCGCATAAATCATCCACCCACTTATAGAAGCTATAATCAGATAATGTCAGAGCCGATCACACAATTCAACTGCTATTACTGTGACAAAACGAGTGCAAACAGCTGCTGACGTGAAATTATTAGGCTGTAATATCAACCATAGCATCTTCTGCATTCAGCACTAACCTCGCTTTGTTTCATGTTGTCATATAGTAATAATACTACCCATCATGTAGTTTGCACTTGTCATTCCAACAGTATAGTCCTGTGATGACAGTTGTAATTGGGGCTGCAGGCTGTAGACATACAGTTACTGTGTCATTTCTAACAGGAACTGATGATGAAACGTTCACTCTCTTCAAGCTGAGTGCTTCAATGATCGCCTGTTTACAGGCAATAGGAAAGCCTGGGAGTGAGTTACAGGGTTTCCATTGTTATTGTAAATCCACAAAAAGGAAATTGTTAAAAACAACAAATAAACTTTAATTCAAGGTGATAGAATTGGCAGGAATATCTGTTTAAATGTGCTTCACTCTGACAGAAAACGTAACAAGAGAATCCATCTCATGATTCTTCTTATTTATTTAATTTTTACTTCTAGGAATCATCTCATAAGATAATATTGCTTGAAGTAAAACTGCTGAATACATTGCTAAAGTCATCTTATAAACTTATGTTGCTGTGTAGTTGTCTATGAAGATTCTCTGTCATCCAGGTCATAGTTATCCAACGAAGATTAAAATCAAGGGCAACTGGACTTGGTTGAAGATACTGGAAGACGTTTCGTCCCTCATCCAAAGGACTTCTTCAGTTCTGACTGACTGGCAGGGAAACTCAGCTATTTAACCTCAGTTGAGTTATGTTGCTGTGTAGTTGCTAAAACACATTGTGACACATTGTAGCATTGAAATAATGTTGCGCAATCACGATGTTTAAACAACTCTGTAACTTTATTCATTAATCAAAATAAGAATAAGTTCCAGCCTGCACCCAGGCGGCTGAGTTGTTTGGTGAATCTCATAACTCAAGAGTCTGGGTCAAGAGTTGAACAACTCAAACAGCATGTATGTAACAGCATGGGGCTACCCCATGCCTTCATTGAAGTCAGCAGTGTTGGTCTTGGCATGCTAAGCTAATCTTAGCTGAGCATTAGCATAGGACGGTTACCCTTAGCATATGGGCTAGCATCAATGGACACATGGCCTGTCATTTCATGTCAGTTCATATAAGTACTGGTCAGAAGAGTTGAAATCATGGTTGGATAAATACAACACATACACAGTTCATTTCAAGTAATTTATTTTAGCTTACGGGATTTACCCAAGGTCATTCAAGTGTTTGTGTTTTATTCACCTGTTCTCCTCATCAAGCAGGGATCTGGGCCGAAGGGGCAAACATGAAGTGATGGAGTGTGGAGTCATTTATAGGGAGAAGACCTTGAATGGTCCAAGTGTGAGCCAGTACAGAGGGGTGTACGGGAGTATTTTAAAGTTGCTCTTTTGAGAAGCTTTTGTTTAGCTGGTAACATTTCATTTCTGGTTTTCTAGTTGATTTGTTGTGTGGTGATGTAGCCAGAGGTGTGTTTGATGGTTGAGATAACATAATGGTGTTTAATTGATTGTCAATTAACTTTGGTTTGTCTTGTAGGAGGGGCTTCTGGTATAAAGGAAGGAGGCAGAGGCCCCCCTGGAGAGAGAACAGCTTGGGCCTGGAAGTGCACATGTGCTGGAGCCCAATAGTCAGGGCTGATATAGGTTTTGTTTTGTGTAATCTCAGTTTGTACTGATAATTTGAATAGTATATACTTAGTTTTCTCGTTGTTTGTTTTTGTTAATTTTTGATATATTTTTACAATACCTCACTTGCATGACTGCACTTTCCACGCATCTGGTTAAAAAATAAATTGAAGCACCAGGTGAAGAACTCATGTCCATGTCTCCTCCTTCCACTATGGGGCTAAACCTTACATGTGGTGTCAGAAGTTAAAACAAGCTGGGGAATGCCTCCCAAAAAGCTCCAACAGCAGCAGATTGAAGTTGAAGAGGAGGAAGTGGCGACAGGAGATGAAGATGGCTCCCAGTCAGGAGAAAACCCTGGTACGTCTGTTGCGTCTAGTCTTGTCTCCTTGGCCAAGATGTTTGAGAGTTTCATGCACCTGCAAATGGACAGAGATAAAAGACAAGAAAAGGAAGCTGCAAAACAGGAACAGAAATACAGTGTGCTGAATCATCAAGTCACACAACTTCAGTTGGACCTTGAGGCTGCCAGGGGTGGCCATCAACCAACAGCTGGGGCACTAAAAGGAGAGCCTAAGCTGCAACGACTTGAAGACTTTGATGACATTGAACATTTCATCACGACTTTTGAGAGGTTGGCTGGGGTCTACAACTGGCCACAGCAAGAGTGGGCCATACGACTGATCCCACTGTTGACGGGTAAGGCCAGAGGGGCCTTTGTGGCAATGAACCCAGCAGATACAACGAATTATGGCTTGTTGAAAGCTGCAGTGCTGAAAAAATATGAAATCAATAGAGAAACTTACCGTCAACGATTCCGCTCTTATGACACACCAGCTGAGGAGTCCCCCCAAGAACTGTATACCCGACTCAAAGACTCTTTTTGCAAATGGGTCCAGTATGACACCTGCAGTAAAGAGGAAATGATGGAGAAATTGGTCCTGGAGCAGTATTTGAAGGTGCTTTATCCAGAAGTGAAAGTCTGGGTCAAGGAGCGTGATCCAACCACTGCTGCAATGGCTGCTAAACTAGTGGATGCCTATGTGTCTGCTCACAAGGGACCAGGATTTTACCGCTACGCAGGACAACGCAGACTCCAAGGGGGTAAGTCTGAGGGGTTTTTGAAAGGGGGTGGTTCAGGTAGCCATACACAGGGTCAGGCCAGCTATAGAAAACCTTCACATGTAGATCAGACTAACCAAAGGGTTTGGTCAGGTCGCAAAGCAGAGGTAATATGTCACAGCTGTGGTGAGGCAGGCCATACACGCCCCTTTTGTCCAGTTAAAAAGCCCAAAGCTACAAACCTGTGCTATGTTCCAAGGCCTAGGGTTGCACCTTTCCCAGAGTCATCTGATTCGCTAACTGTTACAGTCCTGGTAAATGGTAGACCCCTAACTGCATTGCTAGACACAGGGTGTACTCAATCTCTTGTCCAGGCCAAGTTTGTGCAAAGAGAGCTATGGAATATAGAGGAGACAGAACCAGTTGTTTGTGTTCATGGCCATACTTCTGAGGTACCCACAGCAGCCCAATAATTCTCGTGCCAAAGAAAGATACAACTCTAAGATTCTGTTTTAACTTTAGAAAAGTTAATGGTGTTAGTAGATTGGTCCTGTACCCCATGCCCAGGGTTGATGATCTCATTGAGAGACTAGGCAGTGCCAACTTCATCAGTACACTGGACCTATGTAAGGGGTACTGGCAGATCCCACTCACCAAAGAAAGCAAGGAGGTGACAGCATTCAAAACCCCTTTTGGACACTTCCAGTTCACAGTGCTTCCCTTTGGCGTGCATGGGGCCCCTGCAACGTTTCAGAAGATGGACAGGTTGCTGAAGGGCACAGAGGCCTATGCAGCGGCCTATTTAGATGATGTGGTGGTCTATAGTTCCAGCTGGGAGGATCACCTGTCTCATCTGAAGGAAGTGCTATGGAGGATTAGTGATGCAGGCCTGACCATCCGCCCAGACAAATGTGCACTTGCCAAGCAAGAATCAAAATATCTGGGTTATGTGCTGGGCAAAGGAGTGATCAGACCTCAAGTTGGCAAGGTAGATGCTATATTGTCAGCCGAAAGACCTAGAACTAAGTCGCAAGTCAAATCATTTCTGGGCTTGGTGGGTTGGTATAGGCGTTTTGTCCCAGGATTCTCTACCCTCTCAGTTCCTCTTACCAACCTGACAAGGAAGAACCAGCCCAACAAGGTGAAATGGACAGAAGAGTGTGAGGAGGCGTTTCAGGCATTGAAACGTGCTCTGTATAAGGAACCTGTACTGAAGAGTCCTGATTTCCAACAACCGTTCATTCTCCAGACAGATGCATCTGAACTTGGGGTCGGGGCCGCTTTGTTACAGGGAGAACCAGGTAATCTTCAGCCTGTGTTGTACATCAGCAGGAAACTTAACAAACATGAAGGAAGGTACTCTGTTGTGGAGAAAGAATGCCTTGCCATTAAGTGGGCGTTGGACTCTCTTCGCTATTACCTGCTGGGACGGAAATTCATTCTAGAGACAGACCATCGGGCACTGACATGGCTCCGGAATATGAGGGACACCAATTCCAGGATAACACGGTGGTTTCTCGCCATGCAGCCTTTTGACTTTGATGTTCTCTACAGGAAAGGGAGAGACAACTGCACAGCGGATTACCTTTCTAGGACGCCGCAGGGGTCGTCTTCAGAGGGAGGGGGAAATGTCATGGGGCTACCCCATGCCTTCATTGAAGTCAGCAGTGTTGGTCTTGGCATGCTAAGCTAATCTTAGCTGAGCATTAGCATAGGACGGTTACCCTTAGCATATGGGCTAGCATCAATGGACACATGGCCTGTCATTTCATGTCAGTTCATATAAGTACTGGTCAGAAGAGTTGAAATCATGGTTGGATAAATACAACACATACACAGTTCATTTCAAGTAATTTATTTTAGCTTATGGGATTTACCCAAGGTCATTCAAGTGTTTGTGTTTTATTCACCTGTTCTCCTCATCAAGCAGGGATCTGGGCCGAAGGGGCAAACAGGAAGTGATGGAGTGTGGAGTCATTTATAGGGAGAAGACCTTGAATGGTCCAAGTGTGAGCCAGTACAGAGGGGTGTACGGGAGTATTTTAAAGTTGCTCTTTTGAGAAGCTTTTGTTTAGCCGGTAACATTTCATTTCTGGTTTTCTAGTTGATTTGTTGTGTGGTGATGTAGCCAGAGGTGTGTTTGATGGTTGAGATAACATAATGGTGTTTAATTGATTGTCAACTAACTTTGGTTTGTCTTGTAGGAGGGGCTTCTGGTATAAAGGAAGGAGGCAGAGGCCCCCCTGGAGAGAGAACAGCTTGGGCCTGGAAGTGCACATGTGCTGGAGCCCAATAGTCAGGGCTGATATAGGTTTTGTTTTGCGTAATCTCAGTTTGTAATGATAATTTGAATAGTATATACTTAGTTTTCTCGTTGTTTGTTTTTGTTAATTTTTGATATATTTTTACAATACCTCACTTGCACAACTGCACTTTCCACGCATCTGGTTTAAAAATAAATTGAAGCATCAGGTGAAGATCTCATGTCCATGTCTCCTCCTTCCACCATGGGGCTAAACCTTACAGTAGCATTGAAATAATGTTGCGCAATCACGATGTTTAAACAACTCTGTAACTTTATTCATTAATCAAAATAAGAATAAGTTCCAGCCTGCACCCAGGCGGCTGAGTTGTTTGGTGAATCTCTAGCACCATGTGAAGTTAGTGCTTTGGGTTGACACCATAATGTTTAAATAAAAAGAGACATTTATTCAGTGTGACCAACAAAGGAGTCTGACAACCCTGACAAATGCGTCATAACTCAAGAGTCTGGGTCAAGAGTTGAACAACTCAAACAGCAGCAGCACTTCCCCATTTCTAAGATATACTGAAATGTTTTTGCTTGTAATCAGCTACATCATTTTGAAAATGTCCTGAAATGCTTAAATGTATTGGAAGTAGTACAAAACTATGTGTTTAAGAATGTACCGAGGAGGATAGGATGCATACCTGCAGATAGCAAAGAGGGAGGTTGTTTTGCTGATGATGAAATCAGCTCCATGAAAATGTGTGAGATGTTAAGAAGTGATGAACATGATGTTTTTAAGAATGTAATAAGGAAAATAAATAATGTAAAACTATTCAGGAGGCTAAATTACCAATAGTTTTAATAACAAATATGTGTTTTACATCAGAATAATTTTACGGATATGAATGGGTTTATAATTATTTGGTTTATTTAGTTGTAGATTTGATAAACATTTGTTTTAATGGGAAAATGTGCAATGATATTTCAGATGAACACAAATGTTTTACTTTGACAACTGACTTTATTGATACCATTGTTTATTATAAATGTATTGATTTGTTTGCAGTCTGGTATGCTTTAATACATGATTTAATCATCTCATTTAGCTAAGTATTTCAATTATTAATTGATTCTTTCAATCAGTGACTACCAGGAAAGGCTGGTTGACAACCATGAAAAGCTTGGTGACTACTGGAGAGTCAGTGACAGCTCGGAGAGACGTCAACCGGGACAGAACGGGCTGGCAACCCAAACTGTGTCTTCTGTGAGGAGGACTACCATAACAAGCTATGATGAATGTGCCCGAGAGGGGCGGAGGATGAGCACCCCAACCAGACGGATTCAACGGTACTATACCAAGGCAATGGACAAACAACCACAAGTAAGCAGTGTACATGTGGCAGAATCTGTAGGAACGAGCGAGGCCTAAAGATCCACCAAGGGAAGATGAAGTGTATGGTTGGGACAGGACTAACACAACGCCCAGATGTTCACGCAGGAGGAGCCAGGCCCGGAGTCACCCCACAGTGCCCGGAACATCCAAGTGTTGCAAATGACTCCCTCCAGCATCAAGTCTGAGAGGAGGCGGATCAAGTGGCTAGCAGCTAGCATGACCTCACTGTGGAACCAGTTTGACATCGATGTCGAACAGATTCTGGAGGCCAGCATGAGGGGAAACTGCAAGCTATGACAATGATCATCGTCAGCATCACATCCAAAAGGTTTGGTGAAGAGGTGAAGGAAGGAGGATCAAAAGGATCTCACTCAAAGAACTAACGTGAGGTGAGAATCAGCAGCCATCTCAGAAAATGGCTGGGGCTTCCAAAAAGTCCAAGTAGCATCGCACTATGGGCACCGCAACAAACTGCAACTGCCACTCAAGTCCTTGGAAGAGGAGTTCAAGGCAACGAGAGTCAGGGAAGTGTTGCAATATCGAAACTCAAGCGATTAAAAGGTGCCAAAGACTGGGATTGAAGTGAGGACTGGTCTGAAGTGGAAGACCAGAACCAGAACATGACCAGGTGCTGAAGGCCATCGCTGAAGCCATTGCTGCAGGAGTCGAGTGGGCCAAGTGCTCCCGCCCCTCCAAATAAGCCATCACCTTCATTAAAGCTGGAGAGCAGCCAAGACCAGCTGCAAAAACATCTGCAGGCATCCTGGCCACTGCGAGGGACTGGCAGCTGTTGGTGGACCTGGAGCAGCAACTCAAGTTCCCCAACCACATTGCGACCACAACCTTAAGACCAGATGTGGTTCTCTTGTTTGAGTCTTTCAAAAGAGTGGTTCTGTTGGAGCTAACAGTCCCTTGGGAAGACTGCCTGCAAGAGGTCTTTGAAAGGAAGCTCGCCAAGTACGAAGGACTGGTCAGCGAGTGCTGACAAGCCGGATGGAGAGCAAGGTGTCTCCCAATAGAGGTTGGATGCAGGGGCTTTGCAGCCCGATCCCTGTTCAGAGCCTTCAGTCTGTTAGACATCGATGGAGTGAGGAGGAGAAGAGCCATCCACGATACCATCAAAGCGCCAAGAAAGCCTCAAGATGGCTAAGGCACAAGGGAAGAGATCCATGGGGGCAAAGTAGCTAGATTCGCCAACTGGATACAAGCTGAGGTCTGATCAGCCTCAGCTGGGTAGCCTGGATGAAGGTGTATGATGTTGAAAGACCCAAAACACCCAATAATTCCAGGAACATCACTTAAGTTGTGTCCAGCAGCATCAGAACCTCTACCACATTACCTGTGGTAGCCGTCCCCCGGGATCTCCTGAGCAGCCAGGAAAGGGTGGCTGGGTGACTGTCCGAAGGAGGAATAGTCGAGCCGAGAAACCAACTCTGATCATTGGCAGCTCCATTTTGAGAAACGTGAAGTTAGCGAAGCCAGCGGCCATGGTTAAGTGCATCCCTGGGGCCAGAGCGGGCGACATCGAGTCTTATTTGAAACTGCTGGCTAAGGATAAATGTAAATAGATTAATGTTGAGTCGGTGTGCACATATGCAAAAACAATGTCGGACACCGTAGTTTTCTCTGGACCCCTGCCAAATCTGACCAGTGATGACATGTATAACCGCATGTCGTCATTCCGCTGCTGGTTGTCGAGGTGGTGTCCAGCAAACGATGTGGGCTTTGTTGATCATTGGCAGACTTTCTGGGGAAGACCTGGTCTGATCCGGAGAGACAGCATCCATCCCACTTGGGCAGCTCTCATTTCTAGAAATCTGGCCAAGTTTATTAGTGGACCAAATCCATGACAACCCAGAGTTGAGACCAGAAGGCAGAAGTCGCAGTCTAACCCCCTTCTCTGCCCTTCTAATTCAGCAGTTACCCACCCAAAACCCTACGCAGAGTCGCAGTCTAACACACTTCTCTGCTCCTCCATTCCAGGAGTTACTTAGTGAAAATCCTATAGTGACGGTGTCTGTCCCCCGACCACTGAAGTTATTTAAATTAAAGGTAAACAGAAGAGGAGCTGTGCATAAAAACCTCATAAAAATTAAAGCCACAAGAGCAATAATGCAAACGAATAGGAGAGTTAAATGTGGACTCTTAAACATCAGATCTCTCGCTTCTAAAGGTGTACTAGTAAATGAACTAATATCAGATTATGATATTAATTTATTTTGTCTTACTGAAACCTGGGTGATGGAGAATATGTTAGCCTAAATGAATCCACCCCTCCCAGTCATATTAATACTCACATTCCTCGAGGCACAGGCTGAGGAGGTGTTGTGGCTGTCTTTGACTCTAGCCTACTAATCAGCTCTAAACCTAAACTAAATTGTAACTCAATTGAAAGCCTTGCTCTTTCATACCCAAGTTGGAAATCACTGCAACCAATTATTTTTGTTATATTGTACCGAGCACCGGGTCCATACTCTGAATTCTTATCTGAATTTGCAGAGTTTTTGTCAACTTTAGTCCTTAAAATGGATAACGTAATTATTGTAGGGGATTTTAATATTCATGTGGACGTTGAGAATGACAGCTTCAGTACTGAGTTTATCTCTCTGTTAGATTCCATTGGCTTCTCTCAGAGTGTTCATGAACCGACTCACTGTTTCAACCACACCCTCGACTTTGCTCTGGTATATGGTATTGAAATTGAACAGTTGAACAATTGAAGTGATCCCACGGAATCCCTCTTTATCTGACCACTGTTTGAATTCTAACTATTAGAAACAAAATTGGCACTGACTTATCTCTAAACTCAGGAACCTTAGAAACGGCTGTAAAATCAGATATATGTTTAGACTGCTTTGCTTCCCTCTACCAACTAACTTCAATAATTTCTTCATCTAAACCATCAACCTGCCTCTTAGACCCCATTCCGACTAGGTTGCTTAAAGATGTTTTACCCATAGTCAGCAATTCTATACTAGATATGATCAGTCTATCTTTATCAACAGGCTATGTACCACAGTAATTTGAAGTAGCTGTAATTAAACCTCTTCTGAAAAAGCCCAAACTTGATCCGGATGTTTTAGCCAACTATAGACCTATATCTAACCTTCCATTTCTCTCTAAGGTTCTGGAGAAAGCAGTTGCTAAACAGCTGTGTGACTTTCTACAGAGCAATATTTTATTTGAGGACTTTCAGTCAGGATTTAGAGCTCATCATAGCACAGAGACAGCACTGGTGAAAATTACTAACGACCTCCTCATTGCATCAGAAAAAGGACTTGTCTCTGTACTGGTTTTATTAGACCTTAGTGCTGCATTTGATACCATTGACCATCAGATCCTATTAAAGAGACTGGAACATTTCATTGGCATTAAAGGAACCGCTCTAAGCTGGTTTAAGTCCTATTTATCAGATCGATTTAAGTTTGTACATGTTAACGGTAAGTTCTCCATGCGCGCCACAGTGAGTCATGGAGTTCCACAAGGATCTGTCCTCGGACCAATCCTCTTCATTTTATATATGCTTCCTTTAGGCAATATTATCAGGAAATATTCCATAAACTTTCATTGTTATGCAGATGATGCCCTCCAGCACCACTGTGAGGAATCTTGGAGTTATCTTTGATCAGGACATGTCGTTTAAGTCTCACATTAA